CTGTCTTCTGACCTTTAGTGTAGAGCTTAGATAGAGTTATTACCTTAGCACCAGGTCCGGATCTACGAAGTTCAAATTCCTCCAGGTGGGTGTTGCTTGGATCTGGCTGCTGTGCTCCACTTCTTTCTGCTACAGCCATTACAGTTGAACCAATTGTATCACTCTGTCAAGATGTTCTGCTCCTGAATCAGCTGGGTGGGTCTTGCCTCTACCGTCTTTGCAGGGAGTTCTGCTGAAGGGTTCCCTGCTGGGCCTGCACTCTGGGTCTGTTCAGGATCCCGCCGCCTGGGATGTCTCATTCATTTGCCAGGCCTGCGCTCTGGGTCTGTTCAGGATCCCACCTGTTAGTAGACTTCTGACAGTCTTGACACTGTGCCCTTTGCCTAGGATAGAGAGTAGGAATTGTCTCCTGAGATTTGTTGTTTCAGAAAAGTCCCATGTGAACTCTTCCGTGTGAGAACTTCTTGTGACCGTGGTGCTCTACTGTTTTTGTAATTCATTCATTCAGCCAACATAGGGCTGGGATATAGCTCAGGCACAGCACCTGCCTGGCAAGTGCAAGGTCCTGAATTCAATTCCTGCCCCCCCCCCAAAAAAAAACCCCTACTGAACCATATATACTAATGGCCTAATACATGATGGGCACAATGTTATATAATAGCAATAAAAAAGCCCCCATTTCCCATAGAGCTCATAACCTTTTGGGGGAAATACTCTTCCTACTGGGATACAACCTGGCAGTCCACACTTTCCAGTGTCAGAACTGAATCTGGAGGAAGATTCGTGCTTGAAGTGTGGCAGTTCGGATAGGCGTGAGGAAGGATGGGGGTCCTGCTGTGGTTCTGCCTGCCTCTGGCAGGTGAGTTGGTTTCAGCTTTTGTTCACAGACATGAGAGGTTTAAACTGAATCATCTCCACTATTCCTGCCCCCTGTGGCATCTTAAGTTTCTGGTTCCAGAAGCTCTGCATGGAACAGGAATGATACACACCTCAGGTCTGAGCTCATGTCTTTGAGATTCTAGTTGAATAGAACATAGGATTGGTTTTCCATCCTGTACTCTTCCTGTCCCTGCCAAGCCCTCCTTTGGTCCTTCCAAGTGCAGCTTCAGGCTTGGGTGAGAAGGTGCTGATTGTTCCCTTCAGCATTTTGTAGCTGGACCACGAGGTTCGCATATTTCCAGCGGCTGTTTTCATTTATTTTTACAGAACTCTAACCTACCTCTTAGAATAGTTATCACATCCTCATATTTATATGTAACTATATTTTTAAATTTACTCTTAAAATAAATTTAATCTTTATCTATTTGACCTGAGTACCTTAACATAGCTGTTAAAATATCTATCCTTCAATCCATGTGTTGTTCATTTAATAAGAGCTAGTGTTAAGTCCCAGAGGAATACTGTGTGCGATATGGCCTTTTGAGCTCACAGTGCAACAGAAAAATAGGCCTGTGAATAACTAATCACATTTAGCAGAAGAGCGCTGGGTGTGCCAAGTAGCATATTTATGGTCTATGCCCAGTTAAGACTGGCACCCTTAAGAGGAAGTACATTTGAGAGGGATAGTATTTTTAGAGTTGGAGAAGCACTTAAGACAGTTTGTTGCAAAGGAAGAGGCTATTTTTGTGGAGAGTATTTTCAACAAGCTGTTAATTTGTTTAGGAAACTGCATACTTATTTGAGTTTAGTACTACATGCTCAGCAGAAAAAAAGAAAAGCAAAAAAACCCAAAAAACAAAAACCACAAAAGCTAATGAATATGTTCTAAGAAATGCATCCTCAGGTGGTTTAATCATTATTCAGACAGAATATACTGACATTAACCTAAATAGTGTAACCTGCTACTCACCCAAGCTGTTCTTTTGCTTCTAGGCTACAAACATGAGTAATATATTTGTAGTCTTGAAGATACAAACTGAAGGCAATGTTGCAGGCAATTGAAACACAATGGTATTTGTATAATTAAATATAGAAAAGACATGGTAAAAATACTAGGTGTGTCAGCTTTTCAGCACTGTTGCAAGATAAAGCAACTTGAAGAAAGATTTTTGGCCTGTGGTTTCAGAGGTTCGGTCCATGGATGCTTGATTCTGTTGCTCCTGGACTTGGTTGAAGAGAAAGTCATGGTGGAGAGGGTGTGGCACACAAAGTCGCTCACCTTAAGGCAGCCAAAAGGAAGTTGAAGGTGCTGGGAGACACAATATGCTCTGGTGGGAATCCCCTGCCCCAGTGTGCCCTATCCCTTCAGCTAGGCCCTATTTCCTAATGTTTCTGTCACCTCCTAAAATGCCATGAAATTATGAATTAGTCAGTGAAGTCAGAGCCCTCGAAATCCAATCACTTAGTGAAAATCTCACCTCTGAACACTGTTGCATTGGTATCAATTCTTTTGCACGTGCATCTTGGGGACACATTCCAGGTCCAAATCATAATATTAGATAAAAGGGCCCTTTTCTTCCAGTTCTGTTATAATTTATGGGACCACCAATGGTATATGTGGTCTGTTGTGGATGAAAATATTATGAAATATATAAATAAGGTTTTGTATCTCATTTTTTTTTGGTTACACTTGTAAGATTCATCAGTGTCATTGCATGTAGTTGTATTTTGTTCACTATTACTATTTATTGTAAGGTAGTCTGTTATGTGCACATACTGCATTTTTCTTTCAATTCATTCTACAATAGATAGGTATTGTTCAATTCCCAAATTCTAGTTATTACAGAGTGCATTGCTATAAACATGCTCATTCGTGTCTTTTGGTGACATACAACTGTTGGGTACAATCCTTGGGTGAATGCTAGGTCTAAGGATACCCTGGACTTTAGAAGATACTATTAATGGTTTTCTAAAGTGCTGTACCAATTTGTACTCCAATGAGCAATGTACAAGACCCCCATTTGCTTTCTTTGTAATATATTTTGTCTCTACTCTTATTTTTTTCTCCTCAAGTGGATCTTTTTGACTTGTATTTTGTTTCACACACTGCCTTGAGAACAGTCCACACAGAAAATTGGACTTTCTCATATGTCTCAAACTTATAGCATGGAACTCACCTGTTGAGGGATAGGCTTGAGCAGGGAGAATGGCATGGTGGCTGCTGGAGAAAGTGCTTGCTGAACTGGCTTTGCAAGATCCTAAGAGTCAGCCAGTGGAGAAAGAGAAGGGTCACTAGGCAAAGGAGTGGAATCTTGGGTGTGTGGAATACCTGGGAGCCCAGAGAGCGTACAGTAAGATTTCAGGGACTGAACATCTGAAAGGAGAGTGAGGATGAGCACACAACATGATCTCATGGAGCAGAAATGAATCTTATTTGTCAGATAAATCATTATCAGCCTGCCTGAGCTCCCAGGAGACCTTAAGCTGCGTCTACTGAGATGGTGTGGGTGTAGCGAGAAGGAAAGGGATGACAGAGGGCAGGAAACCAAACCTGTTGTCTCTGCTTGGCTTGAGCCCCCAGAGTTGAAAGAAGCCACGTGGACATCAGAAAATACCACAGCTGGAGCTTTTGTTAAGTGGTGCATGTTTCATTTTCTCTGTTCAGAGTATCCGGTCTAAAGTGGAGCTGTCTGTCTGGGATCAGCCTGAGGATCTTAATCTCTTCTTCACTGCCACCTGCCAGGATGGCCTTTCCTACCCTAATCAGAGGAAGTGTGAGGGCCTGAAGATTGGAGACACTGTAAGTATTCACTGCCAGCGTCTGTGAGCCCTTGCTAGCATTGGTTGTTGGTCTTTGGATCCTGGTAACCTTTGTGACTTACAGGAGTCCCTTGGGAGTTGTGCCCAGTCTCCCAGTGGAGCATCTTGGGGAGATTTCCTAAGCTTGGTCTGCATTATATGTTCAGAGTCCTAAATTCACTTGTTAAGGAGCTTTAGTAAATAAACAGGCCCCTGGGGGGCCAGGGAGATGGCTCAGTGGAATAAGCACTTGCCTGGCAAGTGCAAGGGCCTGAGTTCAATCCCCGGTTCCACAAAAAAAAAAAACAAAAACAAAAACAAATAAACAGGCCCCAGCATTTCAAACCTGTGGATTCCTCCAGTTGATAGTGTACCCTTGGTTTTTTAATGTTACTTTGTCTTTTTGAGACAGGGTCTCACTATGCAGTTCAAGCTGGCCTTGAGCTCACTTTGTAGCCTAGGCTGGTCTTGAACTTGTGACAATCCTCCTGCCTCAGTCTCCTGAGTCCTGGCATTACAGGCATGTGCCACTATGCATGTGCAGGAATCTCAGTGACCTGGCTCCATCCATACCTGGTTTTCTGCAGTGTGCTCTGTGCCCTGCATAGTCGGTAAAGGATGAAGAGAGCTCTCCACCTGTTCTGCTTTGAGGTGATGGATGGGTGCATCTGCAGCCTTGGAGGGAGCATTTGCCTTACCAGATAATGGATGTAAGGAGTATATATGAGGATGTGCAGCTGTGTGGCAGAGCAAGCCCTCAAGAGTGTAAGTAGGGCAGAGTTGATGTGGGCAGTTGGAACAGAGGCATCGTGCAGAGTGGTGTAGAGGGCTGAGCATACGGCTTGTAGAGGGGCCCACTGCAGGAGACCCGCTCCTGATTTGCTTCACTCTCTGTCCCACTGAGCAGAAAACAAAAAGGAATGAAGGAAAACTTTCTCCTATACTTGAGAGACTGAGTAGGAACCGAAAAATAAGGATCTTAAGAATAGACGACTGTTCTCTGGGCACTCAGAAGCTCAGGGAGACTTGGGCATAGCTTCAAAGCTGTTCACTGGCATGCCTGGGGTGTCTGGGATTCTCTCTCCTCTCCAGATCCCCTCGCTTCTCAGAGTGTCCCTTTGTCCCTTCACAGGTTGCGGATACACCTCCCACCTTTCCAAATCTTACAGCCTTACCCCATAGACGAACATTGGCAGCACACAGCATGGTGTGGAACTTGAGAGGAACTGCCTGTGCAGCAGTTCCTTTCCTCATAAGGTTATTTGTGGCATCTTTGCTCTTAACAGACTTGAGAGGCCTGCATAAGTTGTGTGAGAAGTCATCACAAGTGACTTTTATGCCTCTGAACTCAAGGCCTTTAGGGCCAAGATGACAAGGCCAGAACGAAACTTCACGCTCCCATCTTCCTGTTTATGCAAATGAATTTTGTGCTTAGGTCTCTACTAATAGAAGTAGAAATGTGATCGATAATAACTTCTGTCTTGTTCAGCAATAAATTATATATGACCTATGTACCAAGTACCAGGAGAAAGGCCTTGTCTTTTTTATATACTGCCAAAGTGGCCTCATCTCTTTTTTTTTTAATTTTTTTCCATAATTTTATTGACAGACAAATAGCAATGAGACAGTTTTAAATAAAATTGGTAGGACAAAAAAAAAAATTGGTAGGACAGTTTCAACAATTAACACATTACATACTGTCTTCCTAGTGGTTATTTGCTGTACAAGATGCAGACATGATATCCTATTTGCAAACACTATTAGAACAAATCCCTAAGAGAATGTAGCTATATATCTATCCTAACCATTTTGCATACACAGATACAAAATGGACATTCATCTATATCCCTTTTTTTTGTTTAGTTCCATCATTTAAATATTATAGGTGTGTGAACTCAGCAAAATATTCCAAAATAGTCGAGTAGTCCATAATAGTACTGGGTCTTCCACTTGACTGGCAATGTCAGAAGCTGATCACCTGAGTCCCCTACAGCTCAACATAACAACATAGCTTTACTTCTTGTACTTCATTTTTATACTTTCCTTCTGGATGGTTAAGACCAAGATAAAACAAGACCTATGTAACAAGAGTTGTAGCTTTTGGATCTGATAAGGTCATTGAAATCCCCTCAGGATTTATCCTGAAACCCTGTACCTCAGATTGTAGATCCTTTATCAGTGTCAGCCATGTGGATGAGTCACAGCCATTGCTTGGCCAATTTGCTTTCTGTAAAAGCCTGAGAGAATGTTTTCTCTCCATGTGACTCTCTTTAGGCACACTCTACATCATTGATCACTTTCCTCTTTGGCCCCATAATCTCCTTGATAAGAAAATTTGGGACACTACTGAGTTACATGACGTTACAATACAAGATTTCATATGTCCTGAGTCTTAATTGACCTTGGAAGGCTAGGGCCAAAATGATGGCTTTCCTTGCGGTCCTCCTTTTTCTCTAATTTTGGTCTGCAAACTTAGGTTGTTAACCCTCCAGAAGACAAGTTTATTGTTTTTACCATACAACCTAGGCTGTTGAGCTTAACCTCTCTATCTGTCTGAATATCAAACATCTTAGGCATAACATGGAACAGGTATTTTTCATCAAGTATTGATATGTTAAACTTTAAGTCTCTACAGAATATGATGAAAAAACATTTTTAAAAATTAGAATATATTTTAAAGATAGGCATAAAGAATTATGTACTTCTTATGTTTACACATAAGTCCAGAAATCTAACCATATACAGCCGTGTAGCAGAACAGTCCCGCAACATTCCTTTTCCTGTCTTTTGCCTTCATTCACCACCCCCTTCTTTTTGAACAATCATCTACCTGAGAGACAGCACAGCAGCAACTGGCATGTCATGACAAGCAGCCCGTATTGAGAAGACCAGAATGACAGGCACTCCAAGCATGAGCCTACTATTACAAATTGCCATCTTCAGTGCAGTTGCTTAGTTCACAAGTGTCTGTATGTATAGTTAGTCAGGGTGAGAATCTTTCCAATTAACTGCTAGATTCAAAAATTTTCTGAAGATTCTCAGGATCATTGCCTTACCCATCTTCTACATATAACAGTATGGCTTGCCCCTGTCATGTTTCCTAGCTCTTCTCCTTGTTCTCTTTTCATTGTCTAGTCCTCAAGTTCTTGCTTTCCTTTTACCTGTATTATACCTATTTGTATTTCTTCTTAAGTTCTTATACTAGGGAAACTATACGATATTTACACATGTGTGTCTGGTTTATT